GTCATCATCTTCCCGCGAGACTTTGGATTTCTAAAACTTGAAAAAAGTCTGACCCACAGAAGCAGATTCTCGTGGAGTAGGGAAATGTAGTATTTGATAATATGAGGATCATTCCCCTAACTTTCTCTAATGTAACACGTTGTACGTGCTCGCGAACTTCTTTCGAATTTAAGCATATTGCCACCCTAGATAAATAGAGTACAATATATATACGTATATATAGTGAAAAATTATATTCCAAATACGCTCAACCTTTGAAACTATAATTTGTTCTTTAATCAATGATAAACCATAACTGTATCTAATAGTTTATCATATCTTATAGTCCATTGTTATAGATTGGCCCGGCATGAGGGTCGCGGGTTCGAATCCCCGTCACACCAAACATGCTCGCCCTTTCAGCCGTGGGGGCGTTATAATGTTTCGGTCAATTCCACTATTCGTTTGTAAAAGAGTAGCCCAAGGGTTAACGGTGGTTTGGTGCCTTCCCTCTAAATGCTTTTGTGATAAAGAAAAACATTTTCTATAATACATTACCTTTTTCAACAATAAGTTTTCTGTTGGCCTGGCGTGGCTAGGTGGTTAGGGTACTCGACTGGCAATCTGAGGGTCGCAGGTTCGAATCCCAGTCCCACAAAACATGCTTGTCTTTCAGCCGTGGGGGCGTTATAATGTTACGGCCAATCCAACTATTCGTTGGTAAAAGAGTAGCCCAAGAGTTGGCGATGTGTGGTGATGACTAGCTGCCTTCCCTCTAGTCTTTCGCTGCTGAATTAGGGACAGCTAGCGCAGATAGCCCTCGTGTATCTTTGCGCGAAATTCAAAAACCAACCAACAAACAATCCATTGTTATGGTTCCATACAGTTCTATGGTAAGCACTTTTGTTACAATTTCGTCAAACAGAAGAAGCAAGTCATATAATAGAATCATGACTGATACTAAGGAGCCTCTTAAAACTACTTTAACATCATAGATGAAAAGGGAAAATTAGAAAAACCTAATTTTCTGTTCCAATGATCATTGCCATTGTAGTTATGTTATGTGTCTAATGGCTTTCTTAAAAAGTCACTAGCTGATAACGTACAAACTGCTGCAACTTAGTTGGTTTTTAGGGTCTCTCAGCCCTAAGAAAGAGATACTTTTGAAACCTGTGTGGGGGCTATACGAGCAGAGCTGACAATTACAAAAAATGATTAGACGTATAACAAAGATATTATTATCAATTTTCGGAGAAAGAGGATGCACTTTTTGCCATTTCTTGCAAAACGAGTCGGGCGTAGCCTAGTGACTTGCATGACCGGATAGTGAATTTAAGAATTTAAGGTTCACGTCCCGATGTTTGAAAAATGCACTCTGCACTTTTGGGCCTTGGGTGCGATATATATTGGCTATTGGGTCAGATAAGAGTATCCCAACAGTTGGCGTCGGATTCTGTGATTAGTTGGCTTCCCTCTAGGCTATCAGTTCAAAATGAGGACGGCTATGTGCAGACAGCCCGTTGTGTATTTTTGCGCAAAATTTCTGAAATAAACAAATTTATGAAAGCAAAGTAACAGCTCCCAAGTGGCTCAGCAATAAGTGTAAAGACTCATAGCGCTAAAAGCCGAGTTTCAATACCCGTGGTAGGCATAGCACAGATAGCCCATTGTGTAGTTTTGTGTTTCACAACAAACAAACAAAAGGAAAGTGACTATCTTTGGTAATTCATTCATAATGTTGAAATATTTTTAAACTGCCTATTGAAGTTTTATTAAATACAGGAAAGTAAAATAACGTAACAGATTGAGTGCAGTTTTTCAGCATGTCGTTGACGAGTTTCTTCACTGTTGTATAGAAAGTAAATTAACGTAACAGACTGAGTGAAGTTTTCAGCTTCTTGTTGACGAGTTTCTCCACGTACTTTCTATACAACAGTGGAGAAACTCGTCAACGACATGCTGAAAAAACTGCACTCAATCTGTTACGTTATCGTACTTTCTATACAAGAGTGGAGAAACTCGTCAACGACATGCTGAAAAACTGCACTCAATCTGTTACGTTATCGTACTTTCTATACAACAGTGGAGAAACTCGTCAAAGACATGCTGAAAAACTGCACTCAATCTGTTACGTTATCGTACTTTCTATACAACAGTGGAGAAACTCGTCAACGACATGCTGAAAAACTGCACTCAATCTGTTACGTTATGTTGTATATATGCAAATCCTGAAACCTCGCTATTTGGAACATGGGAATATCGTGTCTCCACAATATAAATACATTTTGGGCTCTTTTTTTTTCCCCAACATTCCCCCTATTTACGCAAAAAGTTGATAATTACTTTTAACTCATTTTATTTTATGTGTTTGTGATGGTAAAGGAGCTAACTTAAAATGAAACTATCGAAAGATTATGTTATGAACATTAGATATTCTATATTAAGCAGTAACCTAGGTTGGTTTACTATCTATAGTGGTGTAGATGAATGAGTGGTTGTGACGGAATGTAGGAAAAAGAAAAGGTCCAATCTATAATGATAACCAAACGTCTATTTGATTAAGCATCGAAAAAATATTTATCAAGAAACTTATCTATTATTACCTTTAGCTTTGTTATAATAAACAATGAGAAAATAAAGACGAAAAAAAACCGTTTCTTTGCCTGTTACCCAAGTTTTCATTATACTCAAAAAAGCAGATTAGTTATTTGTTGTTTACAAAGATGTCTCAACCATTTAGAACAGCCCAAGTGCGTCCCAGAACAAATATATTATAGAATTTAGTAAGGAAATAAGTATAAATACACTTACGTATAATCTCCAACTCATTACAACTTACAGGTAAAACGCAGTTTAAAAACCTTGATACTCTGTTTGAAGAGCAGTTGATAAAACGAGGTGCCAATTAAAAGCCTGTGTAAGTTTTACTTTTTCCTAGCGATTAAGCCACTTAATTTACATATAACATTAAAAGATGATATATGCGATGTGTTAACGGTTTATACATACATTTGTAAGTTCAGGAATTATTAATAATTCACCATAATTCTAGTAATTAGCTAAAATAATAAACGTAGTTATCATCCTCCTGATACAGTTAGCATTTAATTTTTTCTTGGACCACATATAAATGTTACTTGCATTTCGTTATCTTCAAAACACCCAATGACACATGGCTGAGCAAGATACATATGTATTTGCGAACAGTCAACCATTGGGTAATTCGAATATCTTCACATTAATTATAGTTGTTGGCCATAATTCCAGAATTATCTCACAAGGTACAGCCACGCAACAGATTTACATTAGACATAAACCAACACACTGAGCTAACAATACATGATGATTTACGTGAGAGCAATAGTAAACCAAGCATCACTCTAGTATTAGCTCACGAGGCTTAGTCATTTACGAGATTTAAATTAGCCCTAAATTTACACCCTAAGCTAAGAATGCAAAATAATAATTTGAAGTTTAATTGCAATTCAGGAATTATTTTAAGTGATATAATCAAGAAGATTTATGAGCTTAATTAAAAAACAACAACAATAACAAGTAATAAGTTTCCAATTACAGATCACATAATACCGCCAGTTATTAACTACTTAGATCCACATCAATACATGAAATATGAAACTAATTATAAGCGTTCACGTATTTGAATTAAGAATAATGACTAAATTTCGTATTAATGGCACTACATACTATTCGGAGAATTAAACAGATTTTCTGTCATTGACTGATAGACTGTCCGATCTTCGAGCGTAAAACCTTCAAAGACCAATGCCAAATGAAAGAAGATGGAATTTCACAGTGATAAATATGTTATTGTAGATGTAAAAATGATTATATCAGTTAATGTAAGATGTATATTCCA